AGGACAAATCCAATTAGCATCCCATCAGTCTACCATCGCTCATCAGTAAGGTGAGGGAAGGTGTCATCATTGATGCCATCAAGCAGCACCTGCTCAGCAATAACCTGCTCAGTGACGCCCAGTTTGGGTTCCGCCAGGGCCACTCAGCTCCTGACCTCATTACAGCCTCAGTTCAAACATGGACAAAAGAGCTGAATTCCAGAGGTGAGGTGACAGTGACAGCCCTTGACATTAAGGCTGAGTTTGGCCAGTTGTGGCATCAAGGAGCCCTAGCAAAACTTGTGGCAGTATTGATATATTGAAGAAAGAGTTGTGGGTGGAGACCGGAATAGGACTGGAACAAGGAATGTACCCCACGAAGAGACAAACATAACTGGGGCTCATGCCGGTACTATGGCCACCCCTCTGACCTAAAGAAAATGAAAGGAGTTAAAAGAGAAGTTGTTGAGGGTGAGGACGAGCTGAGCCAAGTAGGGGAGGGTAGTGGTGGGTGGGGATGGTTCAGACCTTTGCTCCAGGAAGAAGCGGAGAGCCATGAGACCCTCCCGGTGGGGAATGGAGGTGTAAAGGGATTGCACATCCGTGGTAAAGAGGAGGCAGCTGGAGCCTGCAAACTGGAAATCCTGAAACTGGTGGAACGTGTCAGAGGAATCACGGATGTACGTGGGCCAGGATTGGACCGGGGAGAAAAGACTGAGTAAAGGTAGGAAGAGATGAGTTCTGTGGGGCAGGAGTAGGATGTTCCAATCCTATTCTGGACCCGACCTGCAACTCTTTCTCCGATATATCGATGATACTAACAGTGCACCATCCCTCTCTCATCCAGAATTGGAAAAGTTCATCAATTTCGCTTTCAATTACCACCTTGCCCTCACTTTCACCTGGTCTATCTGTGACCCCTCTCTTCCCTTCCTCGACATCTCTGTTTTGATTTCTAAGGATAAACTGGCCACTAATATCTACTATAAACCTACCGACTCCCACAGCTATCTGGACTATAGGGCCTCACACCCTGCTTCCTCTAAAGACCCCATTCCATTCTCCCAGTTGCACCGTCTCCATTGCATTTTTTCCCATGATTCCAACTTCGACAAGGGAGCCTCCGAAATGTCCACCTTCTCCCTCAACTGAGGATTCCCCAGCGCCGTTGTCAACAGGGCCCTAAACCGGGTCCGACCCATCTCCCGCACTTCTGCCCTCACCCCTTCTCTTCCCTCCTATAACAGCGATATGGTTCCCCTTATCCTTACCTACCATCCCACCAGCATCCACATCCAGAAGATCATTAGATACCATTTCCGCCACCTCCAGCGAGATGCCGCCACCAAACACATAGTCCCCTCCATGCCCTTGTCCGCCTTCCGCAGGGACCATTCCCTCTGGGCCACCCTGGTCTTCTCTTCCTTCACCCCCAACGCCTCTCCACAGCCCCACAACACCTTCCCCTGTAACTGACGAAAGTATAACACCTGCCCATTTACCTCCTCCCTCCCCAGTATCCAAGGGCCCAAACATACCTTCCAGGTGGAGCAACATTCACCTGCACTTCCAAGAATCTAGTCTACTGCATTCGCTGCTCACAATGTAGTCTCCTCTACATTGGGGAAAGGAAGCGTAGACTTGGTGACCGCTTCGCAGAACATCTACGTTCTGCTCGCAAAAAAGACCCTGAACTACCTGTTGCCTGCCACTTCAATGCACCACCCTGTTCCCTGGCCAACATCTCTGTCTCCGGCTTGCTACAGTGTTCCAGCGAAGCCCAACGCAAGCTGGAGGAACAACACCTCATTTTCCGCTTGGGGACCCTACAGCCCTCCGGACTCAATATTGAGTTCAATAATTTTGGGGCCTAAACTCTCCCATGTCCCAGGCCCCTACCCCACACACCAGACCTTGTTACCACGTAGCCTGCCATTACACACCCCCTGTTGTTAGTCACAAACAGTCCCCATTAACAACTATTCACCCTCCCAGCCTGATCGTTAGCAACTCCTTTGCCTGTCCAACTGTCTTTCTCTCTCTTTGGGCTCTATCTTATCGTTTACTCCCTACCCCACCCACCTCCCTATTTTCTGCATATAAACTGACGTTTCCCCAGCCACCATCAGTTCTGAGGAAGGGTTACCAGACCCGAAACGTTAACTCTGTTTTCTCCTCCACAGATGCTGCCAGACCTGCTGAGCTTTTCCAGCAACTTTGTTTTTGTTTGAGTCACAGTTGCTAGTTGTGGCTTTGTAAGGAACAAATAGCGGTCTTTTGACTGATTGGCATGTACTGGAAACATACTGCAACATTTTAACGCTGTTCTAGGATCACAAATCCGTCCTATCACAACCTCGAAAGTCCCATTTAAACCATTTCAGTGAAGGGAAAGCACTCACTTTGTCTGCCTTCTGCCTTTTTGAAGCGTTCCTCTGTGTTTCAAATCCTGCCAGCAAATTGGTGGCACAGTAGACAGTGAAGAAAGTTTTCTAAGATTACAAAGGGATCTTGATCAACTGGATCAATGGGCCGGAAAATGGCAGATGAAGGTCAATCTGGATAATTGCGATATGTTGCATTTTGGTACAACAAACAAGGGTATTATGCAATTAACGGTAGGGTCTTGGTGTAGAACAGAGGGATATAGGGGTTCAGGTACATAATTCTTTGAAGTTTACATCACATGTAGACAAAGTGGTTAAAGAGATGTTTGGCATGTTTGCCTTCATTGCTCAATCCTTTTGAGTACAGGAGTTGGGAAGTCATGCTGAGGTTGTACAGGACATTGGTGAGGCCTCTTCTGAAATACTATGACCAGTTCTGGTTGCCCAGTTATAGGAAGGATATTATTTATTATTAAGCTGGAGAGAGTTCACAAGAGATTTACCAGGATGTTGCTGGGTACGGAAGGTTTGAGTTATAAGGAAAGGCTGGTTAGGCTGGGACTTTTTTCACTGGTTTGTAGGAGGTTGAGAGGTGACCTGAGAGAAGTTTATAAAATCATGAGAGGTATAGATAAGATGAATGGTAGTTGCCTTTTCCCTAGGATGGGGGATTTCAAGACTAGGGGGCACATGTTTAAGGTGAGAGGAGAGAGATTGAAAAAAAGGCATAAGGGGCAACTTTTTTTTTACACAGAGGGCGGTTTGCTTGTGGAAGGACCTTCCTGAGGAAGTGATGGATGTGGGATCAATTACAACGTTTGAAAGACATTTGGATAAGTACATGAAAAGGAAAGGTTTGGAGGGATATGGGCCAGGAGCAGGCAGGTGGGACTGGTTCAGTTTGGGATTATGGTCGGCATGGACTGAATGACTCTCTGACTGCTTCCCATCCTTCCCTAAGTAATTACTTCCAACCCTCTCTTAGAGATATCTGTGCTTTCCTTATTCCGGCCTCTTCAGTAGTCCCTAATTTTGATTCCTTCTCTTTGGGATTCAGCTGTTTGGGCCCTAAACTCCGGAATTCCTTTCCGTAATCCTCTCTGCTTCGCTTTCCTCTGTTAAGACGCTACATTGACCTCTGGGATCAAGCTTTCGCCCATCTGTCCTCGCGTCAACCAGTTCTTCGTAAAAGCGCTTTATTACATTAAAGGCGCTGAATAAACGCAAGTTGATGTTAGTCATTAATCTTGCAATCACGCTTTTTTTTCATTATCAGTTGACACAATCAAGTCTAAAACGGCGTTGACAGCAATGTTAATCAGTCTGGTACACTCCAGATGCAGCTAGGATTTAACCTGGTTCTGATTGTATTTGCAAGACCATGTTTCACTGCAAAATTGTTTCAAATAGAATCTAAAAGGGAAGAATATTGCATTCATTTACATACATATTACGTGCTGCAAGCTTCTTTTTTGCAGCTTGATAAATGTAGTTGGATGCATTCGCCCTCAAACTATCGAAAACGCCACTTTGTGGATCTTTGTAATGTTCTCGCCAGATTACCGCATGGAAACTGGGACGATTGAACGTAATAGATTCTGTACTGAGCTCCTCTTGCTGTAAGTTGTTCGTCTCACTCTCGCGTCTTCCCTTTGGCACACGTTGCGGCTTTGCTGTTATATTATTCACAGGGATGACTCTCATTACAGCAAGGTATACCTGTCCCCCTGCTCTTCCCGACACGTCCTGAGCATCTAAAACCCAACCCACTGTTTACCAACTCAGTCTGATCTCACACCCGCCCACCCGCCTTCTTAACATCTCCAAAAAAACACACACACACCATCCCTTACAAAATCCCTAATGATGCTGCAACCTCTGGGCTTTCAGTTCCCTTGCTCACCCGGTTCCAGTTTGGAGTGTTTCCCACTCTCACTGCCGGGGATTGTCGATGTCCCAGTTGCAGGATTTATTCCTGGTCCAGGTAGCAGACAGGTCCAACAGCGTTCCCCACAGGTAATGGATAACTGCATTGCAAACGGTTTCACAGACTTCCTGCTCTGTTCCCCTCTTGCGCTTTAATTCCTGTCAAAACGCGATCGATATCTGGAGATTAAATATTAACCGCTCCGTATTCTCTGAATGTGCTTTGGAAAGTGTTGGTCACGTTAACCATCCTGCAAAATGATGCCCAGTTGTCAAATATCCTTGTGCTTAACTGATATTACTTTTAGTTAAACCTTTCTAACCCCCTGAAAATGTATGTGTCACTGATGGTTGATATGTTATTTCGTGTCACAAAGTGAAAGTGCATCTTTGGAGAGACAAGTAGTATTTTTATTCCCCAAGGCAACTGTCTGTTGATTTGCTTGTTCAGCTCTCTCTGTACAATCTTAGGAATGAATACAGTGAATAACGGTACACTGTGGTAACAACTGGTTGAACTGCGTTCGGAGATGCCAGTGAAAACAAATAGATGAAGTTTGCTTGATGACTGAATTCGTTTTGTTCTGATTAAATCTTCCAGGCTGGGCCACAGGAGTAGAAACAGATCCAGTGGATCGCAGGGAGCCAGAGACTGGGTGTTTCAGAGCCTTTCACTTCCTCAGTTAAGTTTGAAGAGGAGTTTGGAGGATGATTCTCCCTGCAGCGCTTCTGCTGGTATCTCAGTTGAGTGTTGCAAGTTGTACCTCGGAGACCTGGTCCCTCTGTCCCCGAGGCTGTGAGTGCAGAGAGGGCCTCAAGTATGTCAACTGCTCAGCCGCTTCCTTGCAACAGGTACCCCCCAGCTTCCCAACAGATACAGAGCAGCTGGACCTTTCGAAGAACAACCTGACCATTCTCCCAGCCGGCGTCTTCCAATCGCTCTGGAGAATCAATATCCTCCTCATTGGCTCCAGCCATGTTCAGAGAGTCAACGATGGAGCTTTTGCCTCTCTGGAGAACCTATGGCGACTGGATCTCCGGCAAAACAACATCAGGGACTTGAGTGAGGGCTTTTCCATTGGTCTCTCCTTCCTCAATGAGTTGATACTGTCAGACAACCACTTGGAGAAGCTGAATTCACTGATGTTCCAGTACCTGGACAATGTGCAGAAACTCTACCTGAGTAATAACCAGATTTCTCAACTCTCCAGCGGGGCCTTCCGAAGTATGACGAGGCTACGGCAGCTACACCTTCAGAATAACCGACTGGCTAACCTGAGCAATGGAGTCTTCTTCATGCTGCAGAACCTGGAAGTGTTAAACCTTCAGGGGAATCTAATCAAAGATGTCGACACTGGTGTTTTCACGTCGTTGACCAGTCTGACGCTCTTGAACCTGTCCCGAAATGGCTTGGAGCGAATTAAATTCAAGACTTTCTTGGGTATTCAGACTTGGGGCACCCACATTTTGCTGTCAAAGAATAATTGGACTTGTGATTGTGAGCTGCAGAGGGTTTTCGGTAAACTGCATAATGTCCAACGCTTGCTTGTGGATGACTATGACAATGTGATCTGCTTGGAGCCTCCTGCCCTGAGGGACTTTCCATTAGCATCTGTTGACACTCAATTGTGCATAGCAGAGACTGTCACAGTCCTGGTTATCACAGTGACAGTCTTCATCACTGTTGTTGCTGCGATTGTAATGGCTGAAAGGAATAGGAAGAAACGAACGGGGAAGCACTGGAGTGAAGAAAGTGAAGACTTTGATTCTCAAGATTAATGTACGTTAAGCAGTAGACAAGAGTAACGTTAGATTGCACATATCAGTGGGTCTCAGGGTAGATGAACCGCATGGTGTAGCACTTAGCTAGGAAGGTGCAATCCATTCTCTGGACTGAGCTCAAACCAGATGTGCTGCAGTTGACTTTGATGTCCCCAGATGATGCAAAGCAGATCAATCAACTTGGTTCGTGATGTAGTGCTGTATCCTGCAAATGGATTTGTGTGGATGTTGTATGGGGACAGGCTCGGATTCAGCAGTTCCATCGTCCCAGCTCTGATTGTCTATGCTCATACAGGGGTGACATGTTGGGCGGCTGTTTTGTCAGTGCTGTCTTCAGTAGAGGCAGGCTCAGGGCAGAAAATTGAGGTCGGCCCCATCATAGACAGAAATGACTATCAGCTCCATTGGAACCCTGATCTGACTCAACAACAGTGTACAGTGTGTTTTCAGTTACATATTGCAAGTTCATACAGACAATGTTGGTAGTTCTATTGACAGTAAAAGAAGATGCAAAGCTTAATGCATTAAGATGGGAAGAACTTATTGTATTAGGGAAATTAAATTGTCTTTCTTTTTAAATAAAAAAAAGGAATAATTAAGGAGTGTTTCTGAAAATGGGACACTCTCTGATTAAGGTGAGTTCACCAAACACTTTGAATGACCTAAGGGTTACAATGGGTGGTATCTTCCTGGTTCCTGACCGATGGTTTTGGAGGTGGTGAGATGCCGAGATGGGAGACCCACTGAACACTGTCCCGCCTCTGGGTGGATATCTGTCAGTTAATGGCCGGGGCGGGGGGTCGGGGCGGGGGCGCTCCCCAGCTGATTCAATGACAACCGTCAACTGAGGGCCCTTATCCATGCTGTGGGTTGGTGAAGCTGAGCACCTACCAGCTGGCAGGTCAGATCAGAGTCTTATCTCAAACCCACAAGTGACTGAACGACAATAATTACAACCATTCCGATGCCCCTTACAGCCATGGGCTTCCTAAAAAGAAATAGTTCCATAGCCATCCAAGAGGGCCTGCATTCTGAGGTGCTCTCAACCTCTCCTACCTCCCCCCAACACTGCACACCTCTCCTGGGGCAGTACCAGCCAGTGCTGAGGTCCTCTTACTGGGCCTAGCAGAGTCCCACTCATCATTCTAAATTAAGGACAGTTAATTGGCCATCTTCCATAAGGTCACAGCTTCCCCCAGGGGCTGGAGTGCGTTATCTACGCTCCCCCCACACCCCCCACCACTACCAACTCCCCAACAAAATGTTATGTTAATTTAAATTTTAAGTTTCCTTTAAAATTAGGCATTTTCCTGTTATAGTAACCCCTTATGGTTTCGTTGCTCAGTTGATTAGAAAATTTGATTGAAGGGCATTGAATAATTGTCAAAGAAAGGTCACATTGCAATGTGGATGGCAGATGCCCAGTGAGATTGCAAGGCAGAAGTAGATCAAATCCCTGATTATTTTCTAAGTTGGGAAGATGCAGTCCATTGCTGTCCTAATGTTTCCCAGTTTGCTCCAGACTTGTATTAGGTTCTCAGTCATTGTGTTTTGCATTTAGTAGTATCAATTTTTTTTTTACTGCTACGAAGGGAGCTGAAGGTAAGAGAGTGTACAATCTTTACCCAAGGTCACTAAGGATGCCAATAACAAAGGGCCAGAGAGACCATCACATGACTTGTATGTTTCTGAGTTGAGAAATGCCTAGATTCTAGCTGACTGGCCTTTGCCTGGGAAAATGGGGAAGTCACAATAGGATTTTTGTTTTCAAATTGTCTGCAGAATATTATTTTGAAGGTTGGAGAGTACATTAGAGACAAGAAAAATCCGTAAGTACTGGAATCCAAGGTACACAAACAGGAGGCTGGAAGAACACAGCAGGCCAGGCAGAATCTGGAGGAAAGGAGCAGTCAACGTTTTGGGTATTACCCTTCTTCAGGACTGAATGTGGGGGTAGGGGGAGCTACAGATAAGTCGGTGGGGGAGGGGTGGAGGCAGAATGGTGGTGATAGGTGGACACTGGTGGTAGGTACAACCTGGTTGGTTGATGGAAGGGACGAATCCAGTTGGTGGCTGGAAGGGAGGGTCAGAAGGTGGAACAGAAGGGAGGAGGTGGGGCTGGAAGGGGAGCTGGGGGGATGGGTGGAAAGGTTATTTGAAATTGGAGAGCTCAATGTTCAGTCCTCTGGGCTGTAGGGTGCCCAGGCGGAAGATAAGGTGTTGTTCTTCAAATTTGCATTCTGAGTCGCTGCGACACTGGAGGAGGCCGAGGACAGACATGTCGGAGGGGGAATGGGGCTGGGAGTTGAAATGGGCGGTGATCAGGAGGTTAGCTTGGCTGTTACGGACCAGGCGAAGATGCTCAGTGAAATGGTCACCTAGCCTACGTTTGGTCTCACCAACATAGAGAAGACCACATCGGGAGCACTGGATGCAGTAGACTAGGTTGGAGGAGATTCAGGTGAAGCTCTGTCTCACTTGGAAGGGCTGTTTAGGAGATAACAAGGTGTAGAGCTGGATGAACACAGCAGGCCAAGCAGCATCAGAGGAGCAGGAAGGCTGACGTTTTGGGCCTAGGGCCTTGGATGGAAGTGAGGGAGTTGGGGTGTGGGCAAGTGTTGCATCTTTTACATTCATGATTTGGGGTAGTGCACAGTCAATCTCTCTAGGAAGATGCCAAATGCAGTCTGTCTCCTTGGTGAAGGTGGTGGAAGGACAGCTAAATTTTAGTCTCAGTGTTTCCTGGCTAGGGAAATCAGCTAGGATTCTCATTCCTGAGCTTAAAAACGTGTGTGTGTGTGTGTGAGTGTGTGTGTATGTGTGTGTGTGCGTGTGTGTGTGCGCGCGCGCGCGCACGCTTGTGTGTGGGTGTGGGTGTGTATGTGTGTGGGTGTGGGTGTGTATGTGGGTGTGTGTGTGTGTGTGGGTGTGTGTGTGTGGGTGTGTGTGCGCGCGCTTGTGTGTGTGTGTGTT